ACCACATAAGCAAAAAGAAAAAAGCCGGAAGTGGCACTGTGGCTCAAGTGGTAGAGCGCTAGCCTTGAGCTGAAGAACTGAGGGACAGCGCCCAGACCCAGAGTTCAGGCCCTATGACCGGACCCCCCCCCCAAAAAAAAAATTTCTTTCATGAGCCCTCTGTAAGGAAAAGGAATTTATAATCATGATCTTAAATCTTCCTTTAAAATGGCAGTTGAATCAGGGGAGAGAGAATGGAAAATGAATGTTAGATTATTGGTACTTAGGAAAATACTCATTAATCATTATTACATTCTCCAACAGGCACACACATAAATCAGAGAGCAGAGTAGGAGGAGATGGGGCTGAGGAAGATGGAACTGAAGCCTCGTGAGATTTAGTCCTCATAAGACTTAAATCAGTGTAACCTGAGTAGGAGCCAATAAGTAGGCTTGAGCTGGTATTCTGAGAGGCTAGTGACCAGAAGCATCTAGGAGAGTTGGGAGAAGCTTCTTCCAGCTGCAGCCCCCAGGGCTTCTGCTTTGGAAAGTATTGAACTTAGCAGTCTGTAATAGTAAATGGGTTTGACAGCCAGACTTCAGAAAAACTGTGCTCAAAGTAGAAAGTAAGGACAACAATTTAAAGTAGATGGATATGGTTTGCTCAATTAAAAAAAGATACAACTAGAAATATACATATGTGTGTATATACAGATACACAAAAGTGGTTTATTATGACTACTGTTAGTTATCCAAGAAGGTGCTCAGATCTGTTGGTAGCTGCCTGGTATATGCAGAATGTGTAAAGTCCTAAAAGCCCTTTTGGACTTGTACTGAAGAGCCAGTTCATTTTAATCTAAACGAACATTGGAACCACTCTAATGCAATACGGAATTCAACAGCATCTGTCCTTTAGGCCATAGTATGTAATAAGTGCAAGGTCCTGGGGGGGGGTGAACCTCAGTACTAGAAAAATACATGTTTTATTTCTTAGTTTTCATTTCTCCTCAGAATCATATTAAGTTTTGCCCTGATGGGTGATAATAATAGATAATACTCTTGAAGCTTCACATATATTCCAACTAAGCCTTATGAGTACTATTAAATCCATGTTATACATGAAACAGGCCCAGAGAGGTCAGTGAAAGCTTTCCCAAAGGGATACACACATAGCTGAAGAGCTGGTAAGGCAAAAATTCAAATCGAGGTTGGTTCTAGTAACTCCTGAACTCTTAATGGGTGATCCACGTCTGATTCTGGAGAGGGCTTTCACACCCAGTTGTTGAAAAGAGTATGCCTCAGGCTGAACACTTAGAATTGTTTGGTCATTTTGTTAGGAGAGGTGAAATGCATTTTACAACTAAAATAGATATTTAAGCTCTTAGGTTGTTATAGTTGAAATGTTTCCAATGTATCATACGTATTGCTATCCTATGATAATGCTATTTATGCTACTTGTCAATTCTATCTAGAATGTAATATCAATGAATTTGTGTCCATTATGGTCCATTTAAACATAGGCAAATGATTCAATGTTCTTGACACTGTATGTTGTATTTCTCCCACAAGACTGTATCCCACTCTAATAAATACTTACAAAAGCTTTTTGACTCCTTTGTAATGTTTGTATATAAATTGAAATGTCTGAGTTTGGGGATTTAGCTTAGTGGAAGAACACTTGCCTACCAAGTACAAGGCCCTGAATTCAGTCCTCAGCACTGCGAAAGCAAAGCAAAATAACTGAAATGTTGGGTTTTAATTTGCTATAGCCAGAAGGCATTAAATATGCTTTTTGGGTTACTAAAATTACTGCTGTTACCTAAATAGCATATCATTTTAGTTATTGATTGGTATTTGGAGTTCATTTTGTTGAAAATGCATCTCTTGATAGGGGATATTAAATGGGCTTGAAGGGGATCTTCCTCCACTAATTATTCAGTTGTCCTTTGGTGTGGCTGACCAAAGTAAAGGCAGCACATGTACTGGACTGTTCAGGAAGACTGAGGCCTCTAGTCTATCAAGTGTGAAAAGAAGCTGTAGAAAAGTCTTTGAGGGGCTGGGAAGGTGGTAGAGCGCTTACCTTGCATGCATGGGGCCCTGGGTTTGATTCCTCAGCACCACAAAAGCAAAAAGAATAAAAGCCAGAAGTGGTGCTGTGGCTCAAGTGGTAGAGTGCTAGTCTTGAGCTGAAGAACTGAGGGACAGAGCCCAGGGCCAGAGTTCAGGCACCACGACCAGACCCCCCCCCCAAAAAAAAGTCTTTGATACACTGATTGCAGATGTGTACTATAGGTATGCTAATATGAAAATTAGATAAGCTTGATCTAAAGATGCTTGCCCACATCCTTCTATTACAGGTACCCTTGGGTGCAGGTACTGAAAATGATTTGTAGGTGTTCCTTTTAGAACTCTTAGAGCAAATACAAGCCTATCCGGCTATCAAGAAATGTAGGTTCTCTTGGGTGGGATACTGTGCAGCAGTAGGCAAGGTGGAAAACAGGCATCTCATTTTGGAATAAAGTGGTGTATGGATAGGCACATATGTAAGACATTCGTTTGGGGGAGTGGGGCTGTGCATCCAAAGGGCATGAAAGGGAAAGATTAACCATTGTTTTGAGCCTAGGCTGTATTGCCAGGTTTGTCTCCAACTGGGCAAAAGATCTCACTGCCTCAGTTTTCCCAGTGGCTGGGACTACACATGCATGTTTCCACAGCTACTTGACAAGCCTGTGTGTGTGTGGTCTGGGCCTCTCACTTTCGTATGGCTTTTTCTTTTTTTTTTGCTCATGGCTGGTGTTCCGCCACTTGAGAGCTACACCTCTGCTTGAGTTTCGATGAATAATTGGAGATAAGAATATCTCGGCTGATCTGTCATGCTGGCTTTGAACTGGAATTCCCAGACCTCAGTCTCCTGAGTAGCTAAGGTTGTAGGCATGAGTCACTGGTGGTTGGTTTGACTTAAGAATTGCTGAGCTAGGAATGGTGGTACATGCCTATAACATCAGCACTAAAATGAAGCTGAGGCAATAGGGTTGTGAGTTTGAGACTGGCCTAGGTTATGTTAAAAAACAAAACATCCAGCCTGGCGCTGGTGGCTCACGCCTGTCATCCTAGCTACTCAGGAGCCTGAGATCTGAGAATCGCGGTTCAAAGCCAGCCCGGGCAGGAGAGACCATGAGACTCCTCTCTCCAATAAACCACCAGAAAACCGGAAGTGGTAGAGCCCTCGCCTTGAGCTGAAGAGCTGAGGGACAGCGCCCAGGCCCAGAGTTCAAGCCCCACGACCGACAAAAAAAAAACAAAAAATGTTCAAATGTTCACACAAAACCCAAAAATACATGCCACACACTTTTAAGGCAGAGATGGGAAGGATTGCATTTCAAGGCCACCCCAGGTAAAAATGAGACCTCTAAAGCCAGGCATGATGATGCAGAATGCCTTTTATTCTCGATACAGACTAGGGGTGGCAGGCTGAGGCTGATCTCTGGCAAAAAGCAAGGGGCTACAGAAAAGAACTACAAAGGTCGGAGGGAAAGGCCCAAGTGTCAGGGCTAATTGTTAATTAAAATGGAAATCATGTTCATTTTTGTGCTGGTTGTTATTTAATTTCCTTAAAGTATATAAGAGAATTGTCTCTGTAGGAAGAATACTGTCAGTTTCTGGAGATGGAAGGACAAAAGTACTGATGACCATACTCACTCAAATTAGGCCACATAAAATAGGTATAGAAAATGTGCTTGTGACATCAAAAGCCTGTCTTGACATCTTGACTTCATTTGTAAGTTTCTGTGTGGTTCTTTAGCCATATTCCCAAGGAGAGGCTAAAAAGTAGTATCCAAAAATCTAAGCCTTTTGACTTTAATTCCTAAAATGATAAGAGCATTTTACTTTGAACTGTCAATGATGACCAAACACCAGTTGTCATAATTTTTATTCATGCAGCAAAAGAAATGACAATTTGATGTAGAAAATTAAAGCTATTAAATAAGAAATCCCCCAGTACTGAGCATTGGTTTTTGATTGTAGAACCTGGATTTCTCTTGTGACACTGGTTATCATGTGATCAGGAAAATACTCGTCCCAGCTCAACTGTTACCTTAGGGTGGTAAAAAGTAAGAATTACTAATCTTTTTGTACAGTACAAACTAAAATGGACTTTTCCAAGATGGCAATGAATGAACTGTTTCCCTTTTTACATGGCAAGCTGGAGATTTGAGCCAGAACTACTTTCAAATGCTGTCTTTACATTTAATGCAGTTAGAAAAATAGCTGTGAAACTTCATTTCCAAATAGACTTAGTAATTAGAACAAAATCATCCTCTACTTGGCCTTTTATTCTCAAATTGTCTTTATCTCGGACAGCTTGAAATGGGAGATGACTGGTACAGTGCTCCCACTCACCTCTATGGTGATGAGGATGACAATCATCCACTCTAGGCGGAGAGCTCTCTTCTCGGTCAGGTGATTCCGCATTAGATCAGTTAGTTCCATGCAGTGCTGAAGTTTTTCATTCATGACCTGCATAAGAAAAACCTTACCGGGCTGGGAAGGTGGCTCAGTGGTAGAGCGCTTGCCTTGCATGCATGAGGCCCTGGGTTCGATTCCTCAGCACCACATAAGCAAAAAGAAAAAAGCCAGAAGTGGCGCTGTGGCTCAAGTGGTAGAGCGCTAGCTAGCCTTGAGCTGAAGAGCTGAGGGACAGCACCCAGGCCCTGAGTTCAGGCCCCATGACCGGACCCAAAAAAAAAAAAAAAAAAAACCTTACCATCAGATACTAAAACAATTTTATTTAGGAAGAAAAGTTGGTCATATGCTTCAACATTCTGCAGCTTTACATTAAGAAACCACTTAATTCTTGCTTCCCAGTCTTCCTCTAGGTAACCAGTTGTTACTGGTATATAGTAAGCCACACCCACAAACACTTTGTTATGTAACATAACCAAAACGCTTAACATCCTATTTGTAAGACTTGATGGCAGTCTGCAAAGATTTCCTGACTGTTGGTAGACAGCTTTAATTTGAAGCAGTTAAAAAGCAACACATTTTTTTTTAAACTACTGAATATTTGATCTGCACAATTACCAGAAGATGGCGCCATACACTTTATGATCATCACATGGGCTTTCAATAAATTGCCAAAGAGTGAATGATACTTGGTAGGAAAAGGCAGATGGTTTGACTCACTAGATATGGACAGTGAAGCAGAGACTTGGGTTTCTGGTAGAATGATGATTACATAAGTGAAGTGTAATTAAATCACTGATTCTATCAGTTTTGAGTACGTGTTCTATGTGGTGACTCTGCCAGGAACTGGGAAGCTGATAACCAAACTGTCTGATGTCCTGGAGTTTATTTGCTATGAGATATGTCCAGGTGGAGGGCCTGTGAATTTAGGAAAACATTTGGATGGCAGGATTGGGATAAGAAGCACACATCTGAAAACTTAACAGGAAAAGGTGAGGGAAGTCATGAAAGCAAGACTGCTGGTGTTGATGGAAGCCAGTTTGAGAAGTGGTGCTGGGCACTGCACAGAAATGCCTGTTGCACATGCACGTCTTGCTAAGACTGAAACTTCTAACTAACAAATGAAATGACCTGACCTATCCCAACTTTTGTGTTTCTCAGCAGATTACACTGTCACCCCAAGTTCTCACAAGACTATCTTAAGGAAAAAGCAGTACTGTGACCACTCTGCCTTTAATTACCTGTGGTGCTACCCTGTGTTGAGCATAGAAGAGGGAAGGATTGTTTCTTTGAGCTCTGATATAGCTTGGATATTGAATGACCTCTCAAGGCCCATGTGATAAAGGGTGGAATCTCTAGAACTGAGCCTAAATCTTTTTTCTATAAGAAAAGTGATGGAAAGCTGATTAACAAAAGCCACTTCTAAATCTTTTACGTATTTTGGGATGTTTAGAAAGTACTACTTAGAGTATATCTTTCCCTGTAGTTTGAGAACTCTTAGGAATGTTATATAATACGTGGAAGACTCAACACCTCAAGACTTTCAAGACTGTCAAGCTCTCTGCTGTGGAGGGTATCCAGTGCTTTGTGAACATCTGAAGAATGGAATCCTGTATTTTCTTCCTTGGGTAAATGATTTTTAATACAGAAAATTTAATGTGCAACACATGAAAAAACCAAGAAGTGATTCTTTCCTAGTTACTTCTTGAGATCACTGCAGCATGATACAGAAAGGTCCTGATGTGAAACTATGTGGTAAGTTGCTTTAAACCACTAAGTTTTGGGGAAACTTGTTATAGTAATAGCTAGCTAATATAACTGCTGGATGTATCTTACCTTCATGACACTACTATCCCTCTTTTATATGAACACCAGGCCACGAAAATCTAATGCTTTTCAGGTCTGTCCTACAACTGTCATCAAATCCATGTCTCATACATTTAAATGCTGAAGAAGGCCCCCCCAATTTCATCTTAACCGCCCCTGTAACCAGTCTTTCTATGCCAGCGATGAGCAGATGGCCTCCGGTGGCTGTCTTTCCCTGACCAGACCAGGGCCATGACCTCTACTTCTGTGGTACAAGACACCCACACAAGATAAATGACAACTGCAGACACCTTTTATGAGTTACACAAAGGTCTTGGCTTAGAGAAAATAATGTAAGTAGCAAAACTATTGTAGCAATAGTGAGCCATGGAGGGTTTTTGAAATTTAAGTCACTTTTTTCTTCTGTCATTGCTGGTACTGGGTCTGGAACTAATGGTCTGAGCACTGTTCCTTAGCTTTTTCACTCAAGAATGGCACTTTAACACTTGAGCCATAGCTCCACTTCTAGCTTTTTGTGGCTAATTGGAGATAAAAGGGTATCACGGACTTTCCTGCCCAGGCTTGCTTTGCACTGTGACCCTCAGATCTCAGCCTCCTGAGTAGCTATGATTACAGGTGTGAGCCACTGGCTCCCATACTTTTTTGGGTTGGTTGCACTGGAGCTCGATCTCAAGGCCTTTCCAGTCATGGCTGGTGCTCTACAACTTTAGCCATGTTTCTAGTCTGGCATTTTTGTAGTTTTTTTTTGGAGATGGAGTGTTGCAGATTTTTCTGCTCTGATCCTCAGATCTCAGCCTCCTGAGTGGCTAGGTTTATAGGTGGGGACCACTGGTCCACTGGTAAATAACACTGAGAAAGGCATAAGACTAGGAAGTACCTTGAATATCAGCAAAAACTACTCAATGTAACACTACACAGTAAAACAAGACATTAAGATGGGAGAGAATGAAAAGAGAGATAAATGATTAAAAAACACTTAGCTTTCAAGTGCTATGTCTTAAAACCATAAGGAAAGTGACAGGAAAGAAACAGCAAATGGTAAAATGGCATGCTGGAGGTTTTCTAATCTGAACAAGAGAAAATACACTCACAAAAATGCCCAGTACTTCCAAGATAGGAGGGAGTAAAAAAATATCTATCAGTTTCTGATCATTCACACCTCTTTTCTAGAGATCCTTTGACATATCAAGTTCAAAGTGACTGTAGAGAGGACAAGAAGGAAAGATAAATCTAAAGAGATTGGAACCAAAGTCAAACACATTCACTTGCATCTTACAGGCATACAAATTGAGGCAAATCATGTCAAGTAAAAGTATAAAATGTGTACCTTAACTCGTCGAGTAATGCTAAGAAACTGACAGGTTTTATCGTAAAGTTCTTCTAGGTTTTCTCTGTCCCAGTAGAAATCAGGAGTGATCAAGAAGTCTGAACTTAAGTTTATTCGGTGCCTTAAGAAAGGGGACATGGTTACTCTTACTTACATTGAATTTGAAAACCCATTGTTTCTGTGATACTTCTCACACATAGGGAGCACCTTTAAATGCTGACTGTTGCAAAATACTTACGAGAAATATGTGAATCAAAAATTTACAAAATAAGCTGGTGCTGGTGGCTCATGCCAATAACTAGCTACTCAGGAGGCTGAGGTCTACAGCTTGTGGTTCAAAGCCAACCCAGGGAGGAAAGTCCATGAGATGCTTACCTCCAATTAGAAAACCAAAGTAGAGCTGTAGTTCAAAGTGGTAGAGTGCTATTATTCAGTAAAAGAGCTTAGGGACTGTGCCCAGACCCTAAGTTCAAGTCTCACAATTGGCAAAAAACCTCTTACAAATAATTTAAAAACTCAAGCTTAAGTCTTTTTTTTTTTTTTAATTCTTCCTGTGTACATAGCTGGGATCATAGGCCGGTGCCACCATGCCAGACTTAACTGAATCTTTACCTTTTAATGGTTACTATTTAATATTTAACTTTTTAAAAGTAGAAAAAAAATTTTTGGGGGGGGGTCCATCATGGGGTTGAACTCTGGGACTGGCGCTGTCTCTCAGATCTTTAACTCAAAGTGAGCACTCTACCACTTGAGCCACAGCGCCACATCAGGTTTTCTGAGTGGTTTGTTGGAGATAAGAGTCTCACAGACTTTCTTGCTTAGGCTGGCTTTGAACCATGATCCTCAGATCCCAGTCTCCTGAGTAGCTAGGATTACAGGTGTGAGCCACTGGTGCCCGGCTAGAAAACACATTTTTAAAAAATGATGCACTTGTTTCTTTTTTCATTAAAATACTTTGCAGTTCCAAGCAAGTTATTTTTGGGGCCAGGTGATCACACAGTTTAAAAACTAACAGCTAGATGTGAAGATTCATGCCTGTAATACTTGCACTTGAGGAGAATGAGGCAGGAGGATTGTTGAAGCTAGTATGGGCTACATAGGAAGATCTGTGATTAAAAAAAAAAGGACAAAAGAAAAGCACCCTCCCCCCAAGCCCAAAAGATATAAAAAGAGAAAAACAGATTAATCTTACTCCCAATTTCCCCTTTCCCTTTCTCCTGCTCTCTGTGTGTAGGAAGGCTCCTCCCTCAGTATCCTTCCAGTCATGGCGCAAGCACTGAACAAGCAAACATATAAATATGCACATCCAAATTACTTCCCTTCTCCAACCCTCTGCTCTCCATCTTTTTAATAGAAATCTGAGCTTTAAAATTTTTTTGCTGGGGCTGGGAAGTTGGCTCAGTGGTAGAGCGCTTGCCTTGCATGCCTGAGGCCCTGGGTTCGATTCTTCAGCACCACATAAGCAAAAAAAGCCGGAAGTGGCACTGTGGCTCAAGTGGTAGAGCGCAAGCCTTGAGCTGAAGAGCTGAGGGACAGCGCCCAGGCCCAGAGTTCAGGCCCCGCGACCGGACACAAAAAAACAACAACAATAAAATTTTTTTGCTAAATGAAAATTTAAGTAAAGAAAATAACTTAAAGAAGCATTCAGAAAAGAGTAGACACTTTTTTTTTTTTGGTCCATTGTGGGGCTTGAACTCTGGGCCTGGGCCCCGTCCCTGCGCTCTTCAGCTCAAGGCTAGCACTCTATCACTCTACCACTTGAACCACAGCGCCACTTCCGGTTTTCTAGTGATTTATTGGAGATAAGAGTCTCCCAGACTTTCGTGCCTGGACTGGCTTTGAACCTCGATCCTCAGATCTCAGCCTCTTGAGTAGCTAGCATTACAGGTATGAGCCACTGGCGGCCGGCTAGTAGACACTCTTATCTTACCAAACAACTCAAATAATGCAAGGATAAAAATAAGGCTTTATACAAACAAATTTTACAAATATTAACAAATCTAAATATATTTAGTCCTAACTTCTGAGGTTTTTTCCTGGTAGTATTTCAAGTTTGAATTCAGAGCCTTATGTTTGCTAACTATGTGCACTCTGCTACTTAAGGCATGCCCCTGATCCTTTCTGCTTTTAGTTTTTCACGTGGGGTCTCATGCTTTTGCCAGATCTGGCTTTAGACTGCAGACCCAATCCCTGCCTCTGAATACATAGCTAGATCATAAGTATATTTGACTCAATGAATTATTTGGCAGGTGCCAGTGGTTGACACCTATAATCCTGGCTACTCAGGAGGCTGAGATCTGATGATTGTGATTTGAAGATAGCCTGGACAAAAAAATCGTTGAGACTCTTATCTCCAATTAATTGTTAGGAGTGGAGCTGTGGCTCAAGTGGTAGAGTGCTAGCTTTGAGGGGAAAAAAAAGCACAGGGGCAGCACCCATGCCATGAGTTCAAGCCCCAGGACTAACATACAGAATTCTCTAAAGTTGGGAGGCATTTTAAGTGACGGTGTCTTGTGTGTGACAGTTGTGACTTAGTTGTCATTACTTAATGTATGCTTTTTTTTTTAATTTAAGCTCAAATGGAAAGACAAGATCAAAATAAGGCTAAAAGGGTTGTTTCAAAACATAAAATTTAAGTTCTATGACTACAGAGTACTGTTTAAGTGATAAGGGTTTTTTCTTTGTATTGCATTTTGGGGTCTCATATTTTATTATTATTATTTTTTTTTTGGGTCTGGTCGTGGGGCCTGAACTCTGGGCCTGGGCGCTGTCCCTCAGCTCTTCAGCTCAAGGCTAGTGCTCTACCACTTGAGCCACAGCGCCACTTCCGGCTTTTTTCTTTTTGCTTATGAGGTGCTGAGGAATCGAACCCAGGGCCTCAGGCATGCAAGGCAAGTGCTCTACCACTGAGCCACCTTCCCAGCCCTCTGGGGTCTCATATTTAATGAAGTTAGTATGTAACTGTTCTGTACAAGAAAGTCCACTGCATGTATTTATTTTGCTGGAGATTTGCATTAACCAAATCCTAATATATCTTCCTACTCTCAGAATGTGTTTGCCTAAGTCTAGTCTAGCCTAGTCTAATGTGGACTAGTTAGGTCCTCTTCTGTACTTGCTGGATTTCCTCAGCTAGAGGCCTTGTATACCTCATTCCTTCTCATGGTAAGAGTTCTCCCTGCCTATCATTAATGATATTCCTATAAAAGTATAAATGTTTCTTCTTTACTACAGAACTATCACAATGTTTTCTCGAGAATATTTAATATATGAAATACTTTGTTTACAAAAGAAACTTTACCTTAGGGCAAAGAGTTCACCCATTTTCTGCATAACTTCTTTATGGGATAGTTTCACTTTCTTCCCAGCTTTTAAAGCCTATTTGGAGGGAATAAAACCATATATACAGTTGGCCCTGTTTCTGTGGGTTCTATGTCTGTGTAGTCAACTAACCAGAGAGAAGAAACTATAACACACTGCCACTGTGCTGAATAAGAAGATGGATTTTCCTTGTTATTCCTTAAATGATGCAGAGCAGGAGAGCTATCTACATAGCATTTACATTGTATTAATTACAATCAGCAATCTAGGATGATTTAAGTATACAGAAAGACATGCATGGGTTGTGTGTATAACATTGTGCATAAAAATGAGCACCCACAGATTTTAGCATCCTGGGGTGGTGGGAGGGAATCAATGTACAGATTCTGTATATCTTTTTTAAGTACTGGGTTCATCAAGTAAATTCTGTAGGGACATACTTTTATGTACATAATTCTTTAGCTAAAACTGTTCCAGATGTATGTCCTAATTCATTCCAATATTTTAAAGTTTTGCTAGGCAGAATTTTTTTTTTTTTTTTTGGTCTGGACGTGGGGCCTGAACTCTGGGTTTGGGCGCTGTCCCTCAGCTCTTCAGCTCAAGGCTAGCGCTCTACCACTTGAGCCACAGCACCACTTCCAGCTTTTTTCTTTTGCTTATGTGGTAGTGAGGAATTGAACCCAGGGCCTCATGCATGCAAGGCAAGCGCTCTACCACTGAGCCACCTTCCCAGCCCCACTAGGCAGAAATTTTATATATTTATATATATTGTCCCCTTCCCCTCCCCCCAATTCCTTTTACTTTCCCTTTCCTGCTGGTACTGAGACTTGAGCTCTGGGCCTTGTGCTCTTACTCAGGTTTCTTACTCATGACTAGCACTCTATTTCAGCTCTGCTTCCAGTTCTAGCTTTTTGCTGGTTAACTGCACATGAGAGTCACAAGGATTTGTCTGCCCAGGCTGGCTTTGAACCATGATCCTCAGAACTCAGGTCTCCTGAGTATCTAGGATTATAAGCATGAACACTGGATGCCTGGCTAGTTTGGATCCTGAATGTCTCCAGATGCCCATGTGGTGGGGGCTTGGCCCAGAGCCTGTGGCACTGTTGGGCAGTGGTGGGATGTTGTAGAGATGGGACATAATGTCGGGAAGTTGGGTCACCAGGAGCGTGCCCTTGAAGAAATCACTGGGATCGTGGTCTGTCTTCCTGTCTTTATTTCCTGTGGCTATGGGTAAGCAGCTTCCTTGGCTGTGGGTTCCCGCCATTAGCTGCCCAGTCACATATCCCACACCCACAGGTCTACCAAACCAGGAACCGAAACTGAGCCAAAGTAAACTTTCCTTCCAATAACTTGATTATCTCAGGCATTTTATTATAGAAATGGAGTATTTACCTTCTTTATACCTTTTGCAGTACAAGGCATCAAACCCAGAACCTGATTACATGCTAGGTAAGTGATTTACCACTAACTTACATGCCCAGGACACTCTAATTCAGTTATTATTAAACATACTGTGCAATCACAGTAATTGGAAGTTTTAAAAAGTGAAAAACCAAAACGAAGTTTCTAATATATCATCATTTTACATATAATTGAAAGGTATTTTCATTGCTTAAAATCTTTCCTACTGTTTTCTTATTACTTTATTATACTCATCTTGTACATATTGTTAAAAATGAAAAGTTTATATTTCCCCCCACTACAAATCAATTCTTGAAAACAAGTACAGAATTGATATAATTACCTCTGGAATTGACTGAATAGACTCAATGAATTTGTCCAGTGTTGCTTCCCAAATAGCAAGCTTCACTAGGGGAAAAAAAGTAACAGGAAACATTTCTTTATCATCATGTTTATGCTGCCAGTCTGACAACAGATTAAGGAGCAAATGTGCAGCCAGGCATAGTGGATCACACCTATAATCCCAGCATTCAGGAGGCAAGAGCATAAGGATCATGAGTTTGAGGCCAGCCTGTGTAACAGGCCCTGTATCAAAAAGCCCAAATCAAAACAATACAACAAAAATAAAATAAAACCACAACAATGGGGCTGGGAAGGTGGCTCAGTGGTAGAGCGCATGCCTTGCATGCCTGAGGCCCTGGGTTCGATTCCCCAGCACCACATAAACAAAAAGAAAAAAGCCAGAAGTGGCGCTATGGCTCAAGTGGTAGAGCACTAGCCTTGAGCTGAAGAGCTGAGGGACAGCGCCCAGGCCCAGAGTTCAGGCCCCACGACCAGACCCAAAAAAAAAAAAAAAAAAACAAACCCACAACAACCAAAAACCTTCAAACAGAAACAAAAAAGCCAATTTGAAACTGGAACTGAAGAGGGAGATAGATCTGCAAGCATGGCAAGAACCTGAAAAGACAAAGGGAACTGAAGCTCTGCGTCCCGTGGGCAGCCTCCAGCTCTACCTGGCAGAACTGATGTTCTAGGAAGCACATCTTAGAGAGCAGAGGGAAGAGACACAGTGCACCAAGGGAGCACAGGTGGGAGAAAGGTTGCTTTCCCACACTCCTCTGGGCTATGAGTGGAATAAAGTGCATCAGTCTTGAAAAGAAGCCAGAGGGTGTGGACTGTCTTCAGCCAGCCTGTTAGCAAAGGAATTCCCATGGAACATGTTCAGCTTGAGCCATGTGACTCCTTCCTATTGCTGTGACACATTGATGTGGCCCGGGCCATCACACAGGGCAGGGCTGAATTTGGCTGTCTGGATTAGAGACTACCTAAAATTGAACAATCACTGAGCAATGGACAGGAAAACAAAGGTGGTGACCTTAACACAGGCATGAGGGGCAGGGAAGCTTTAGAACCTAGTCTAGTTACCCACATGTTCTACAGTGAAAAGGAGTGCTTAGCTGTATGGAATGTTGTCTGAAAAATGGCAAAATCTTCACCAAATACTTAAACTTCCTCTGAGGAAATAAAGACTGTGTAATGTCTTCCTTGAGAGCAGGAGAAACTTACCTGACAGGCAAAGAGCATTGGAGAAAGCAAATTTTTCTAGAATGGTGTCATCCATATCCAGCTCTGAATTTAACTTGATTTCCCCTCTGTGAAGTTTGGACTGCCCCCTGTGAGAAAGAAAAAAAAAAAAATAGTATCTTCCAGATCTTAATAGTACTTTAAGGGGCTGGAGGTACCAATCAAGGGTAGACTTCTAGGCCCCGAGTACAAACCCCAGTATTAAAAAAAAAAATATCAGTGGACATTTAAGCCAGGTATCAGTGCTCATACCTATACTCCTATTACTGGAGGCTGAGATCTGAGGATTGAGGTCAGTCCAGGGAAACATATCCACAAAACTTTTATCTCCAGCTGGGCGCTGGCGGCTCATGCCTGTAAACCTGGCTACTAGGAGGCTGAGATCTGAGGATCATGGTTCAAAGGAAAGTCCATGAAACTCTCATCTCCAGTTAACCACCAGAAAACTGGAAGTGGTGCTGTGGCCCAAGTGGTAGAATGCTCGCCTTGAGCTTAAGAGCTCAGATATACATACACACATACATACATACACACATACATACATACATACATATACATATATATATGTATATGTATGTATGTACACACACACATACACACACACAACCAGCAAAAAGCTGGAGGCAAAATTGTGGCTCAAGTGGTAGAGAATCAGCCATGAGCAAAAAAGTTAAGCAACTTAGTACAAGATCCTGAGTTCAAGCCTCAGTAGTAGCAGAAATAGATAAAATTTAATGAAAGTACATTAGCACGTCTGTGTTTCTCTTAGGTTCCCATGGTCACTTTGGTGCAGCCACTGCAGGCCTGGTCCATCCTCATGGTGGGCCAGAGTGACACCACAAGGCTCAGGGGAAGCACTTGGAAAATAGTGCTGGGCCAAGGCGGGCAATCTGGAATCTCCTCCAAATTGTCCTAAAGCTCTGCCATCAGCTTCCTTTCCTAAGAGCCTTGTTTCATATTCTAGTAGGTGGGGCACTGGAGAGAGTCCTTTCCGAATGAGCCACCCTGTCTTCAATGGTGTCCTAGCACTCTTTGTTTGTCCTTGCTGAGGTGGGGGAATCTGCAGGCTGCTCCTTCCCATCTGCTTTACCTTAAAGCCACATACCAGGCCTATATCACACAGGCACCCTTCCCTCCCTCCCTCTGATTTCTTTCTCTTTTTTTTTTTGGGTCGGTGGTGAGGCTTGAACTCTGGGCTTGGGCGCTGTCCCTCAGCTCTTCAGCTCTACCGCTTTAGTTACAGTACCACTTCCAGTTTTTGAGTGGTTTATTGGAGATAAGAGTCTCACAGACTTTCCTGCCCTGGCTGGCTTTGAACCATGATTCTCACATCTCAGCCTCCTTAGTAGCTAGGATTATAGGCGTGAGCCACCGGTGCCTGTCCTTAATTTCTTTATTATTTTTTGTTTGTGTGGCAACTGAGCAATTGAACCCAGGGCCTCATGCATGCTAGGCAAGCACTATACCCCTAAGCCACATTGCCAGCCTGAGGCACCCACATTTCTACACCACTTTCCTGCACATGGTACAAAATGGATTTACTTCACTGAAACAAAAGCTTTCCAATTGGGAGTTATACTCTACTTGTTTAATTTGTGGACGGCCTGAGAAGTCACCACACATACACACACACACACACACATCATGTCCCCTCGTATTTATTACTTGACTTAGTTTGTACTAAGAACTTTTTTCTTAAAATTAGTGTCTATATTCAGAAATGATTTATGTAAATTTTTTACTTTTCCAAAGCCCTTTCATAAAGCTGATAGGAAGTTCTTACTCTACTTTTATGTAGTTGAGCTCCTCATTCTCCCAGTGGACTAAGGCAACTTCGTAGGGCTGGATTTCGTGCTTCTCCAGAAGCTGCATCACATGCTTCATCTAGAAGAAAAGGAAACACTAACCTGAAACTAAAGCAAGTCCATCAATGTACACATTATGAAGCTGGACTTTTACATCTTTCATTACGTTATCCACATGATTTCTGTTGCTTAGTTTTGGGGTTGTGTGCATGCGTGCTCACGTGCATGTGTGTGCATATGCTGGTTTGGGACTTGAACTCAGGGCCTGGGCGCTGTCTCTGAGAATTTTTGCTCAAGGCTAGCACTCCACCACTTGAGCCACACCTCCACTTCCAGCTTTTTGCATGTTAATTGGAGAAAAGTTTTCAGGACTTTCCTGCCTGGGCTGACTTTGAACCATGCACCTCAGATCGCAGTCTCCTAAGTGGCTAGGATTACAGAGGTGAGCCAATGATGCCCAACAATTCTGTTGTTTAGTTTTTAAGGAAAAGATGGACTCACTGTGAGATGGCATATTCATCAATCTTTATGTTTAGAAAATAGAGATGAACAGGAAAGAGAAGAGAAAAACATAATTATCCAAAGAAAATCAGTAGTAACATTATAGTTTGTATTCACTAAATCTAAAAAAAAAAGTTCTAAATGCTTTTTAAGTTAGAACACAAAGTGCAGAATGTGACTATCTTATGTGCTCACCTGAAATCCTAATCTCAGAGATGCCTGCCTAACACACTGTATTCCTATGAGCATTGTCTTAGGTAACATAGGACTGTGGTATGAGTGTGAATGTATTCTGTGCTGTTCTTCTCAATGGAGGAGAAGTGCAACTTATTTAATATCCATTGGGATGGTGATTACCATGCATTACAGCATGGTATACCATCTTAAGCATGTTCTTTGGTGTCATGTGGGACTATTTCTTTAGGAATGGCTGTATCAAAAGACATGCACAGGCCAGGCACCAGTGGCTCACACTTCTAATACTAACTACTCAGGAGGATGAGATCTGAGGATAACAGTTCGAAGCCAGGCCTGGGCAAGAAAGTCAATGAGACCCTTATCTCTGGTCAACCAACAAACAACTGTAAATGGGAGCTATGATTCAAGCGGTGGACACCAGCCCTGAGCTAACCAACTTCCACAATGTATTGTTACATTTTGTAACTAGCTTTGTGTATTCCACTTGTTCTCACTTGACTTTTCAGCTCACAGATGGTGCTCTAACACGTGAGCCACACCTCCAGTTCTGGCATTTTTCTGTTAATTGTAGGTAAGAATTTTCTTGTTTTGTCTACCTGGGCCAGTTATAAATCCTTAGATCTCAGCCTCCTGACAGCTAGGATTACAGGCTTGAGCCATTGGAATGGGCATTTACTTGCTATTTATTTAGTATAATTATCATACACATGGGCATTTTCTCAGAAATAGATTTTTTCACATGATTTTTAAGAAACTTTTTTTTTTTTTTGGGTCCGGTCGTGGGGCCTGAACTCTGGGCCTGGGTGCTGTCCCTCAGCTCTTCAGCTCAAGGCTAGTGCTCTACCACTTGAGCCACAGTGCCACTTCTGGCTTTTTTCTTTTTGCTTATGTGGTGCTGAGGAATCGAACCCAAGGCCTCATGCATGCAAGTCAAGCGCTCTACCACTGAATCACCTTCCCAGCCCCTGTATTTAAGAAACTCTCATCATACGTTTTGTTTATTTCTGGTCTGCTGTTGTAGATAACGGCTTTATGAATATTTCTATACATAATTCATCATGCATGACTAATTATTTACTTTGCATAATTTTCTTTTTTTCTTTTTTTGGGTCCGGTCTAGGGGCCTGAACTCTGGCCCTGGGCGCTGTCCCTCAGCGATTCAGCTAGCGCTCTCCCACTTGAGCTACAGCGCCACTTCCGGCTTTTTTCTTTTTGGTTATGTGGTGCTGAGGAATCGAACCCAGGGCCTCATGCATTGCAAGGCAACCACTCTACCACTGAGCCACCTTCCCAGCCCCTTTGCATAATTTTCTAGATGTAAAATTGCTGTTGGCTCTAAAAAGGTTGTAGTGAACAAATTCAGGTTTAGATACTAAAGAAGTTACTTCCTGAGTGATAAATTCTAGAAAATCCAATCTAAATTATGCCTCAGTCAAACCAACTTCCAACAAACTGTGTTTCTGCTGTGCACTTAGAAACACTTCACATACGGATCTAATATCTCCACAGTGTTGCTAGAATAGTTTGGACTCCTCAGATTAGAGTGTGCCCTGAGAACTTAAAATGGAGAAAGCTTAAAAGAAGCCACAATGCAATACATTTTAGAAACTAATGGGTTATTTGTACCTAATGCAGAACAAAAAAGTTGCAGATTACTGCTAATTTACCCTCTAATACCTCAAATTACTGAGTCGTAATTATTCTCAGAAAACCAAGTGTTATACCTTTATACATACTTTCACACCTTTTTTTTTTTTTGTCCAGTGGTGGGCCTGAACTCTGGGCCTGGGCGCTGTCCCTCAGCTCTTCAGCTCAAGGCTAGCATGCTACTACTTGAGCCACAGCGCCACTTCTGGCTTATTTTTTTCCTGCTTATGTGGTGCTGAGGAATCGAACCCAGGGCCTCATTTTTGCAAGGCAAGCGATCTACCACTGAGCCACCTTCCCAGCCCAAACTTTCACATTTTTATACTTTATTTACACCTACCGTTTTGTCTTTGACATTCCAAAACACAGCAGCTCCTTCCCTGATTTAAAAGAATACGAAAATTATCTAAGTTAAAGATAGAATACATTCTTTGGGTCCATACATAAAGCCAATGAAGTCATAGTTGAGTAACATCTAGACCATATCCAGGATATAACAGGAGGAAATATGACTTATTGATTAGACATAGGGACTAGGAACATTTGCTAAAATAAGAGCTACTTTTTAATTTTATTTTTGTGCCAGTATTGGGGCCTGAACTCAGGGCCGGGCCTCAAGCTCTTGTGTAGCTTTTTTGTTTAAGTCTGGCTGTCTACCACTTTCAGTGTCTTTTGCTGGTTAATTAGAGATAAGAGTCTCTAGGATTTGTGTACCCCAGCTATCTTTGAACTAAGATGATTAGATGTCAGCCTACGATTACAGGGGTGATTCATCAGTACTTTGTGTCTATTTGATTTTTGATACAACCTGACTTCTCACATGAAATCAAAGTTCTAGAAAAAGTAGCTGCTACTGTCATACTATGTCCCTTCATGTGCTACACCTTGCTCCTCTGGTTCAACTCTCCAGTACAAAAAGAAACTTAAAATATTGTTTAATTGGAACAACTTTAGCTCTTACTCTTTGCTATACGCAAAGAATAAAGGGTCACATTTTTGTTGCTGTTGTTGGTCACGGGGCTTGAACTCAGGGCTTAGGCACTGTCCCTAAGCTCTTCTGCTCAAGGATAGTGCTTTCCTGCTTTGAGCTACAGTGCTACTTCTCATTTTTGAGTGGTTAATTGGGAGGTAAGAGTGTCAAGGGGACTTTCCTGCCCAGGATGGCTTTGAACCATGATCCTCAGATCTCAGCCTCCTGAGTAGCTAAGATTATAAGTGTGAGCCACTTAGTTCCAGCCTGGGGCTCACATTTTTAAGACTTGTGGGGCTGAGACTGAGTTTGATTGAAGTTTGCCGTTGCACAGTGCTTAAAACAGCTGAAAGGAAGGCACAGGGGCCTCCATACTAGAACTGGAGGGCTAAGCACTACAAACTTAGTTTCATGTTTGACTTTTGCAGTGATGGGCTGTTTAAGTAATAAATAAAAACTTCCATTTTTGTTACTGGGTTACTGCACTGGAGGAAGGAAAGATGGGAATGGCGGGAAGTAAATCATTCTTTAGGCATCTCAAGTGCTTAGTAGATATGTGTCTTCATTTATTTTATCTCTTAGGATACAAAGATGATGAGTATGACTCAGTTCGTATCTTCTAGAAACTCCCAATCTCAGAAAGATTGCCATCTAGACTGCTTATTACCACAGTATATGATCAGTATCATAGAAGAGGTTGGCAGAGCGCACTCTGGGATATCTAGCCAAGAGATATAACTTCTAAGGCACTTGCAGAGCTAGCAGTGGGGAACGTAAGAAGAGACAATCAAGCAGTGGGATCTGTGCATGCTCAGGAAAGAAAAGGAAGGAGCGAAGTGGTATCTTGGAACAGCTAGAAGGAAGCTACATGGTCATCCAGATGTGTGGTCATGTGAACAATTAGGTTCATCAGGCCCAGTCAATCCCTAAGGGGACTTTGTCCTGTGACAATTTGATGCATGGAATTTCAAGCAGAAAAGTGTCAATAGAGAGCTGTTAACTGAAGGGCCTTGACTACTGTACACAAATGGTTGTGGGTGAATAGGCAGGCCTGGAGACCAGTAAGTAAGTATACTAGTGCATCAGGGCTGAGTCTGAGGAGACAGCTTTGACATGTTTAAAGCCACAGTTACATATGCAGAGGGTCATGTCTAAGCATAAGGGAGTGCAGTGGACTGTGCCCACATCTACAGCTGTGCTATGCAGTTGGGCCGACATCCAGAGGCATCTGTGCAAATACCGGATCTGGACCATACTGGTGCCTAGTGAGACAAGCTGTCAGTGTAAAACACACAGCTTGCACAAATGCAGGACCTAGACCATGACTGGGGTCTGGCAAGGCAAGCTGTTAGTATAAAATACAGTACGGAAAACAAGTACAGAAAGTCTCATCAGTTGAGGTGTTGAAATGACATTGTGAGGTTAGCTAGAATATGCTAGCTAGGTGATGTAGCATTATTTATGTTACTCAGAATTCATCTTTCCTTCACTTTTAGAAATGTGATGCTGAGAGCGTGTATGCTTGTAGTATACTGCACAGCCGGGTCCTCGCCTGGGGACTCCTCCCTGCAGGGACGGGGTGCTGCTTTTCTACTGGCACTCAACAGTGAAACCTTGATTATCTCTAACGTTCGAGTGAAAGGAAGGTAGGCACTGACAGAACAAAAACAGGTTTTCCTGTTTTTTTAATCTGGAAGGATTACAACCACAAAAATCCTCTACCAATGAACTTTATTTTGGTACTGTGGACTTCAAACTACGCAAGCACTCTATCATTAAGTAAACCCTATCCTTTAAAACAAAACAAAACAACTATTTTGAGACCAGGTCATGTTACATTGCTCAGGATGTCTTTGAACTTCTGCTCTTACTAGCTGATCCTCTGAAGTAGCTGGGATTACAAGCATGTACCACAACACCTAGTTTGTTTTTGTTTTTCTTGATATAGGAGCTTACCATGTTGTCTGGACTGGCTCAGAAGTCCTGGGCAAATGATTTTCCCACCTCAGACTCCTGAGTAGCTGGGACAGGCATACCAGCATGCCTGGCTTAAAGTTCAGATTCTTTTTTTTTTTTTTTTTAAGTTCAGATTCTTAGATGTCCCTTATTATTTCATTTCTATCATTTAGTCCAATGACTGTAATTCACTGAATCTCTGGTCTGCCATTTCCTCAGCTACAAAATGGGAGTAACAGACCTTCCTTGGGTATAGGGAGGAGAGCAGCATGAGTTTATGATCTCAACGACCCCACTAGGCTCGTCTGCATTTGGTATTAAAGGCCATCCTTAAATAACAGTGTATGTGAGCCAGCATACCAGTCTGAGTCCCTTGGCAGGGGAGGGAGGGGGAGTAATATGGGCTAAAACTTTGGCTGAAAAGTTCCAGAAGGAAAAGAAACAAAGAAAAGCAGCAGAGGTGGTATGGAGCTGGTGAGGAGCACTGGATGAATAGGAAGCCAGGGCTTCATGTTAGCTCGTTGGATGCAAACTCATACTTACAGACAAGCCAGGGCAAGACTATTGTTTTACAATTTCATTTCCTAAAGAGCATTTACCAAAAGATTCCTAGGCCTGATGATATGTTCAGATCGCAAATATACTTTGAACATACAAGCTATCACAAGAGGTACCTTCTGCACACTCAAGACCACAGCCACCTGAGCACTGACCAACTTCCCAATTCAGTTTCTTTCCCATCTTACCTGAAGAAGAAGATTGTTCCAGGATCTCCTTCTTTTGCAGAATGTTCTACACCTATCACCAAAATATTTGCTGCATCTGAGATTTAAAATAATAGAAAAGCTGTATTACAAGGAGACACTATATGCAAGTCATCTTTTAATAAAGTCTTTTGATCACTTAATATACTACAAAGGGCTCTATACAGTCTCTAACTTTCCTACTCAGATTTGGTAAAGGATGCCATACTTGAAAATGAAACATGGCTTTCTGTTGTTGGTCATGGGGCTTGAGTACAGGGCCCAGGTGCTGTCCATGAGCTTTTGTGCTCAAGGCCAGCACTCCACCACTTTCAGTCTCAGCTCTACTTCCAGTTTTCTGGTGGTTAACTGAAGATAGGAGTCTCATGGCCTTTCCTGCCTGGTTGACTTTGAACCATGATCTTCAGATCTCAGCCTCCAGAATAGTTACAGTATAGGCCTGAGTCACCAGCACCAGGCCTTTAACTTTCTTTCTCTTTTCTCTGAGGTACTGGGGTTTGATGACATTCAACTGTCTATGGAATTGGTGCAGGGAAGTTTTCAATTTATTTTGCTGTTCAGATGAATTAAAAAGTTTATCTACCTTCAAAGTCACTGTAAAATTTTCTTCCATCAAAATAAGTTTTATTTGTTAGTTATTAAGATGGCATAGGCTAGACTTGATCTTGCTATATAGTTCAGGCTGGTCTTGAACTCTGAATGCTCTTGAGCTAGCTCACTGCTGCCCTGTTTTCAGCAGCAGTGAGTTCAGCCTCCCGAATGCTAGGATTACAGGCATGAGCTTCCACACCTAGCAAGAACCCGTTCTTATACTTTCCCAAAATTCTCAGCTAAATTTTCTTTTGTATGCGCATATGTTTATCTTTTATTTTAATTCTATTACTTCTAAAATACTGTGCTATTTAAAGAATGTCCTTGTTTTTTTATATCAATTTATGGAACTATAATATTAAAATAGCTTTTTTTTTTTTTTTTTTTTTTGCTAATCCTGGGCCTTGAGCTCTATCTCTGAGCCTGTCTGTGTTCAAGGCTAGTGCTCTACCACTTGGGCCACAGCGCCACTTCCAGCTTTTTCTGAATAGTTATTGGAGTTAAGAGACTCACTGACTTTGCTACCTGGGATGGCTTTGAATTATAATCCTCAGATCTCAAGCCTCCTGAGTAGCTAGGATTACAGGCATAAGCCACCAGTGCCTGGCTTAAAATAACTTTTTAATGTGCAGCATGGGACTATGATTTAGATAAGTATCTCCCAACAACCCATGCATTAAAGGCTTTATTTCCAGCATGTGGACCTTTGGGGGGGATGGAAACCTTTAAGAGGTGGGGCCTGGTGGGAGTTAGGTCATTGTGGGCATGCTCTTCAAGTACTTCCTGGTCATTATGATGGGATCAACTGACCTGCTCTGTCACTATGATGCATTGTCTTACCACATACCTAGAAGCAACAGGAAAATGGACTGACACTTCCAAAGCCGTGAGCTAACATAAACATTTCCAATTTTTTGTTGTTGTTGTTGGTTGTGGGGCTTGAACTCTGGGCCTGAGCGCTGTCCCTCAGCTCTTCAGCTCAAGGCTAGTGCTCTACCACTTGAGCTACGGCGCCACGTCCGGTTTTCTGGTGGTTTATTGGAGATAAGAGTTTCAGACTTTCCTGCGCGAGCTGGCTTTGAACCAGGATCATCAGATCTCAACCTCCTGAGTAGCTAGGATTAAAAGCATGAGCTACTGGTGCCCGTCTAACCTTTCCTCTTTTTAAGTTGATTTCTCTCAGGTATTTGTTACAACAACAGAATATTAACACACAGTTTGATCTTCCAAAACAGTGATGCTGCAAATAAAGATCAATCACTGATTTTAATCTAAGAACTAAGTTCTCTATAATTATATAAAATTTCTATGTCATTTTTATCGACATTGGGTACAACTTTTTTTTTTTTTTTTGGGTCCAGTCGTGGGGCCTGAACTCTGGGCCTGGGCGCTGTCCCTCAGCTCTTCAGCTCAAGGCTAGCGCTCTACCACTTGAGCCACAGCACCACTTCCGCCTTTTTTTTTCCTGCTTATGTGGTGCTGAGGAATCGAACCCAGGGCCTCATGCATGCAAGGCAATCGCTCTACCACTGAGCCACCTTCTCAGCCCCTTGTGTCTGCATTCTTGCAGCTGAATGTGACTGAAGTCAACCAACCGACCAACCAAGATGTCCTATCTCATGCTGTCATCAGGGCTACTCTTCATGCTGCTCAACAGTCTTACATTCTCTCTACAAACCTGCAGGTCTCCTCCTTTCCAATGACTTTGCTTCCTCTTTCACTGACAACATAAACAGTCAGAAAAGAAGTTCCAGAAGATGAACCATCTGCCATCATCAACCCACCTACCTATCTACTGCTTCTGTGCTCATATAGTTGGCCTTCCTTTCTGCTATGACAGCAGCCCTCATTTTTCCCTAAATTCTCATCCTTTCTTGACTTTCTCTCCCCTTTCATGCCATTATTTATTTCCCCCTTTATTAGAACATTCCTATGACCGTATATCTATGCTATAACTTCTCTCACTTATTAAAAAAGAAAAAAAACTCCTCTTGATCTCACTTTCCTGAATTCCTTTCCAATAAAATTCTCTCCAAATGAGTTTTATTTACTATTCCAATCCCTCTTCTCTAATTTCAAACTCACTTACCATTTCAAATTTATTTGTCAGTCACCAGTAACCTTCACCTTTCCAAATCCTTTGTTCAGTGTTGATTTGATTTGTCACAGAGCAAAGAGCCCAGGTGATCACTTTGGCTTCACTTTGCCTTCTAGAATACCACACTGCTCTTTTCCTCCTTGACTTCAACCTTGTCTCTTTTGTTGGTTTGCTTAAGAACAGGTCCAGCCTCTGGACCACTTGGTTTCCCAAACAGCTCTTAGTTATCTCACCCAATTTTATCTATATATACTGATGAGAAGCAATTATACATCTTTCTGCAAATACCCAAAATTAACATGCTTAAAATTGAGTTTTGGAAATCTTCCCACAAAACTATTTTTTTCCCTATAGGCTTTCCCATTCAAGAAGCAATTATAGACTTCTTTGTTTTCTTCCGGTACTGAACTCAAGGCCTTGCACTTGGGAGGCAGGCCATGTTGCCAGTTAAGCCATGACCTCATTCTGCAAGTATAGCCGTATGTCAGCTACAACCAAAAGCCTGGAGTCTACCTTGACTCTTGATTCACCAAACCCATCCATCAGTCAATCCCACTAGATCCATTCAGACCAGTTCTCACCGCCAACACTGCTACTCCCTGGTCCAAGTAGCTCTGCCTTTCCCAGATTATTCTAACAGCCCCTTCTCTTCCAGGCCCTCTTTAGTTTCTTCCCACCATGACCATGAAAACGATCCTTTCTAAACTTCAGTAAAATCAAATCATTTCTCAGCAGTAAATTTGACAATGGCTTTCATTTATAACAATAGCCAAAGGTCTTAAGATGGTCGTCATGGAGCTACGTTAAAAAACTAGTAATTTTAGTGCTATCATTAAGGTGTTATCCAGAGGGGTTACTACTTCATGAGTCATGTAATAAATCCATTTCTTTTTTTTTGGGGGGGGGGGTCCAGTCTTGGGGCCTGAACTTGGCCTGGGTGCTGTCCCTCAGCTCTTCAGCTCAAGGCTAGCGCTCTACCACTTGAGCCACAGCGCCACTTCCAGCTTTTTTT